AGAAGAGCTGATGTATGTGGAAAAGTAAAGAGAGTGGAAAACTGACTGAACTAGTATTTTGTTCCCCTCAAAATGAGTGTTATGTTTGCAATGAGTTTGCTGTTTGCTGTTACCAGGATAAGTGTCAGTGTTGGATATTTGTGGTTGATTTCCAAGTAACACTAATTGGGGAAGTAGAAATTTGGCTAAATCAACAGAAAGTTCTGTGGGAGAGCCAAAAATAATTCTGAATAGAATAATGTATACTTGAATAAAGCCTACATCTTATTTCTAATATTAAGGATTGGGCTGAAGCAAGAAACACATGACTAATAAAAAGCCTGTTTCATAAACATGCTTTCATAGTTTTATAACTATACATTGTTTTCTTTTAATATCTGCTATTAAGACTTTATCATTCTCCAATTGTTTATCCATCAAATCTATCATAGGATGAAATGACATTTTAAATATTACTATAAATTTTCTACCTCAACATATAGCACAACAGGGAAGTCATGTAAATGGGGGCGTTTCACTTCTGATAATAAAATATTGAAAAATCAAAACATTTAAGCATACTGTATAATTTTCATACATGGAAAAGAAAAAATGGAGAATTACTATTTTCAAGTTGCTCACCATTTAAGAATCAATGTGGTTCTTCGCTTTTCAGCTTAATCTTCCTTATTGTTTGTTAATAAAATTTTTAAAAAGAAGAAGAAGAAATCAGCCATTTCTCATGTCTGGATAACAGTTAAGGAATGCAAAAAGACACATTTGTCAAATTGGCCAAGTTTAAAGAGGCCCTTTTAAAAGGAGCAGTGGCAGATATTGCCTAAACCTCAAAAATAAAAAGTAGAACACCATGAATAATGTGAATAAAGTGGCTAATACAGACAACCCCAAATGGCCTCCACAGAAAGGGTTCCTGTTACAAAGGGTCAGTGTGAAATAAAAAAGACTGGTTGGCCTGGAAAGTTTGGCAGACCTCAGCAGACTGCATTCATCACTATGCCTTATTTTATTATGCAACAAAACTGGCTCCCCATAGAGGACAAGCAGAATCCAAGGCTTTTTTGACTTTGGCATGGGGGTGAGAGACAGTGGTGTTCTATTAGCAGCTATGTGGTATTATGGGAGGACACCAAGCATCATTGTACATGCCACCTCATGTAGACTTGACACAAGACCATGTCATATGGAGGAAGGGGGTATGGGAAGCCTAAGCATGGTTTCAGGGTTTCACTGTTGCAAAATTAGAAGTCAAGGACTTGAACTCAAGCTTCTCAATAATTTGAATTTGAAGTTCAGGAGAGTGATCTTGATTGTCAGCATCTTTCAAACTGAAAACCATCATATTTCATTCTCCGGAATGAGTTTTCTTGAGCTCTGATCCCCACATGAATTAAACCAAAATTCTAAACTCAAAACCAAACAATAATGCCCAGTTTTGTACCCATGCCCACACCACCCAGGGGTAGATGGCAATAGAGCCATGGAGACCTCTGCTTCTCTGTCATTGTCTCATGCATCCAGATCCAACAGCTTAGAATATGTAGTGCTCATTTACCACTTGCTTAGTGATGAGGATTGTGAGAATCAAACTTGGTTCCCAAGTGATGCTTTTCCAATAATCATGGAGAATAGTAAACATCATTGTTGAGTGCCTGGTTCTGTCAAGTATCTGTCAATGCCTTCCATAAATCATCTCATTTATTTCATAACAACACCTTGATGGAGATACTGAATAATTCTAATTATATGGTTGTGGAAACAGAAGCTCACATAAAGTTAAAAATGTGCCTTAGGTACTAAATGTAATAAGAAGTGTAAGTAAGATTTAAACTCAGATGTGTTCAACTCCAAAGGCCTCTTCAACTTCCTCTGCCAATGTTTAGCCTTCTACCATGACTTCTGTATACTACAAGATATTGGCCATAAAATTATCTAAAATTTCAAACCTCTATAAATGGATAATATGATGCATAATTTCTTTACAATCAACCCTTATTTCCAGTTCTCCCCCAACCCTCTCTGTGATGGACATTCCCAGTTCTTCCTATTACTCTTCTGGGCAAGTGCTTACCTGCATTTAAAAGGTAATTTTAACTTCCCAGGAAGACAATTGTTTGAATAATAAAACCTAAAAATTTCATAAAATGGTAAAATAACAATCTCATGTTTCCATAAAAAAAAGAGGGGGGGGATGGGATAGAGCTTGTAGCACTGGATGTTTGAGATAATGACAAAAGCATCCATAGCACTCCAGGGCTGGCTTTCTAATATCTTAGGAAACCCAACCACCTTCCCTGAGTCCAGGATTGAGTGAAGGTCATAGAGGCCCAGTAACCAAAAGATGTGACCAGGAGATAGGGGCAAGCAAGTGCAGCTTCATGTAACTGGAGGCACTTCCTAGGACAAATGTCCAGGCCTGAAATGTGTCCTAGAATTTTATTGGTTTTTCTGGCTAACAACAAATGATCATCTTACCTCAAGCCTGTGCTTCTTTTACCCTTCAGTACAACAGAAGAAGGACTCAAAAGCAACTAGTATGTTTTGGGAAACAGCCATAAGACACACATGTTAGAATTGGATACTAAAGAATAAATTGTTCCATATAGCACCGAGATGAAGGACTTATACCTCATATTCCTAACTCACACCATAAACACACTCAAACTCCAACTGACTTACACATCTAAACATGAAAAACAAAAAATAACAGGATTAGAAGAAAATAGTCTGGCATATATAATGCCCCTTTTTATTACAAGATTGCTTATTACAAAATCGTAAGCACATAATTCTATAACATAACAATATCACACTCAAGCACACCATATGACATTTCAGGTGAAATGTTCAAATTAAAATATAAATTATTACATCTGTATTATTACCCTACCAACCACACTCAAGCAAGCATTACTTCTGCCAGACCTTGTATAACAGAATATAGAAAAAAGTTTGAAGCAAACCATAAAAAGGCACAAGTCCTCAGCTGAAATATTAATACATTGAACTATTTCAATTTAATCTGAATAATGAAAAACATATGAGCACAATTATCCCTGATATAGGTGAAGGAGGGGCTATCCCATACTCCTCTAGAACCCACCCAGGAGTTACTCTAACAAATTTGCACATGGAGATCAAGATGAGGTGATATTGAAGGTCTTACTTTAACAAGAAAAGACTAGATATATCCAGAGTCACTTAGTAGGGTATTATTTCATTAACTATATCTATTAAGACAAGGATCAGACAAGGATCTAACATATAAAGCAAAAACAATGGCAATGGAACATTAAACCAACAAATGCTAATGTGCATGACAATTACAGATATGATTTGAGTCAAAGTATTAAGTTGCAAGGAATACAGTATAATATTATTTATGCAAAATGCTAAAAGTATATAACAAGACTATTATCATTTCAGCTGCCTCTCTGTGGTACTTAAATGAGTCTATGCATGTAGACAATCTAGGTTAGCATCCAGACTCAAAAATGAGCTTTGGTTGGTGTGGTTCAGTGGATTGAGTGCCAGACTGAGAGACAAAGGGTCACCAGTTCAATTCCCAGTTAGGGCACATGCTTATGTCACAGGCCAGGTATCTATTAGGGGGTGGAAGAGAAGCAAGCATACATTGATGTCTCTCTCTCTCTCTCTCTCTCTCTCTCTCTCTCTCTCTCTCTCTCTCTCTCTCCCCCCCCCCGCTTCCTCCCCACCCTCTAAAAATAAATAAATATATTTTTAAATGAGCCTCATGACTGGTTGAAATAAGGTGAGTGGATTAGCTAAAGAACACATGTGCATGGCCCATGGACATGGACTATGGTGTGGGGATTGCCTGAGTTGGGGCAGAGGCTGGGTGGAGGGAAGCAAGTGTGGGGGGAATTGGGGCAACTGTAATAGCATAAATAAAATATAATTTAAAAAATTAAAAAGTGAGCCATATTATATTGCATTTCATTACATTTTATCATCTCATTTTATATCACATCACATATTATATAATCAATGTAAGAAACACCCAAACCTGGAGAGAATTTTTATAAGAGTCTAAGTCAAAATTACTGTATATGCCAAGAAGCAAGTTCTCAAAGTGAGAATAACAGTTTTGCAACTTCTTTTATGCATTCAAAATTAAGGAGGAAAAGGAAGATTCCATGTAATGAAGGAACTCAAGAGCTGAAAATGTTTTAGTTTTAAGTTATAGTTAATTAGCTTATAAATTAATGCATGTAAAGATCTATTCTTCCAAGAACTGGGATGTATAACCAGACCCAACCTGACTCCAGGAGACTCACAAGCAATTCAACATTTGTGCCACAGAAAGCAATCAAGAACCATTGTGCTCCAGGGAGAGATGTTCTCAGCCCAGAACATATAAAGAATCATTGGTCAACAGAAGAAAGGATGCTAGAAAAACTGCTAGACTGCAGCTTTCATCTGAGTAAAGTTTTCTTTGAATTGCAAACCCCTCACTTACTTTTTTTTTCTGAATTTCAAATGCCTTACCTACACTTTTTTTCCTTATAAAAAATGTCAGTATGAGATGGGATGTAAGATAGTCTTTTAGGGTACATAACCCACCATCTTTTCAGATCCCAGCTTTCTGTATAAAGTGCTGACAAAAATTCAATTTGTTTCTCTACATATTGGTTCTGGTACTGACAAGCAGCACAGGCCATGTTTTTTTTTTAAAGAATTCAACATACAAACTTTATTTAACAAAAGTAACATGTAAAGTCAAACAGTAACTTATATTAAGAGAAAAGTTAACTAGAAGAAATTTTAAACACCTTACAGTAACCTACTTGCAGTTACATTTAGCTGAGCTCTGTTACTGTGAAGAATACAGCTCATGCACAGGTATGGATGAATGATCTGTACATTTTTCAAGTATTCACTGAATAATACCTTATATACACACATACGTTAAATTTAAAAAAAAGATTTAATTGATGATCCTCAGTTATGCTTCATTTTTGTTGATCTTTTGAAAGAGGTCATCAAAAGAGAAGAATATATGGTTCTGACTCATGAATAGTATAGTGAACCCATCCTAGACTCTGTTGGACACCAAGTCTCCTCCACTCCTCTTCAGACATCAGATGGGTTTTGGGTACTTGTTTGGAAAGTTCTCTGGGTAACATGACATGCCAGTATTCATAGTGTTCATGGAAGTGTTTGTCTGAATAGTAGATCTGTTTGTGGGCCATCTTGCCAGAAGGTGAGCAGCACAAAGTGGGAGTGATAGGGTGGGAAGAATGGATGTGACCCAATGCAGCAGCCTTCCATGTCAGACAGAGATGATGACTTGACCCCATTTTTTCAAGTTTCATATTCCATTGACTCCTTCCAGGAAAACTTCAGGACTCTTCAGTAAGTCTGGGTATTTGGTGAGGGGTCCCATTTGCTGCCTGGACTGGGGGTCCCCAAGGTGTGAATTTGGAAACTCCCTAGAAGCCACCAAGTGATTTCACTTGGAGATTCCCCTTCTCCAGCTCTTGGGCACTCCCCTCTGTCTTCACATTTTGATTGAATTTGTTCTTTTTGGGTCAAGGTTATAGTCCCGGGTCATGACCTTGAATGATCATCAGGAATGAAGGTGTCTTCTGGTTTGGTTTGTGTGATTTAGAGCTATGTCTTGTAGAATGGGAGAAGAGAGAAAAGCCTCTGTTCTGGGAAACAGCCTTTTAAGGGTCAGTTTTGACTGATTGACCTATGCTTATAAACCTATGACTAACAAGTAAATGATTTTTATTGTACTACAACTTGGCTTATGCATAATTGGGACTCAGGAGAGTGATGACCACTGAATGTCCTTAAATTACTATACTATACTGCAATTAGAGTGGTTTTGTCAAAGATCAGGGAAGTGGGACAAAATGCCTTATGTAAAACTTTTATAATTTTATATAATAAACATGCATGATTAAACAGAGACAGATTAATGGTGCATGTAAAGGGGGATTTTCTTGTGGCAGATAGCAGAAGTTCAGAAAATAGGGACCAAAAAATTTTAAATGTATGGCTGCTGCAAGCATGGTCAGGGTTTCCATGGTCCCTCTAGCCCCGGGGAATCTTTCTCCTTATTCAGCTGAGGGAACTGAAGTAAGTGATCCTGAGCTTGTCTCTCTGCCTCAAATCTGTCAGGAAACCAAATTTGATGGAGGACAAGCCCCTACCAGGGCAGGGCAATACTCTTGCAAAGACCTGCAGTGGCAGTAGGCCAGACCACTGGATATTATTAAGCTCATACTCTGTTTTCTACACTGGATCTGTTAAACTGGAAAATTTCAAATTCTTCTTATATGGATGATTCTACTAAAATGACTGACTTAGTTGCATGAATTTTTTGCTACCCAACATCCAAATTGTGCATAAATGAAAGCCTTACTAAATATTTGTTTATGGGGGATAAGTGGAGGCTGGTAGTGGATAAGGCAAATGAAAAGGCCTGGAGACTTCACCAAGAAAATCCAGGTGGAGCTCCTTACCCTACTAAGTCTTTAACTGAGCCCAACTGGGACCCTAATAAGAATAGCCTTTCTCTTTTAAAGCTTTATAAGAGGTGCATTATTGAGGAATGGAAGAAAGGAGACCCTAAGTAAAAAAGTCTGAATATGGTACAGGGAATACAACAGAAGCTCACAGAGGACCACCTGAGTTTCTTGAAATAATCTACCAGGCCTATAGAAACGTATATTAGTTTAGATTCACAAGCCCCTGAAAATATTAGAAAGGTGACTATGATCTTTATTTCTCAAAGTATACCTGACATCAGAAAAAACTTCAGAAGTTACAGGGTGACATAGGCATGAATTCTTCCCAATTAGTAGACATTATCTTTAAAGTTTATAACAACAAAGAGTAGAAAAAGGACCGAGCAACCATTATTTTTGTGGAACAAGTCTCAGAGAAATTCCATCAGTGGGCAATAGGTGCCTCACCCTCATCTAAAATGCTTGCAACTGGTTAATGCACACATTACAAAAAAAGGAGCATTGGAAAAATTAGTTACCCAAGTGAGGTAAAAAAAGGTCACAGTCTGAGAACTTGAAAGTTATGCAGGAAAAAGGAAATTTCTCCTATGATGAGTGACAGGGCCTGGAAATTTTCTCATTACAACTCATTAAAGTCACCCCTCAGAGGTAAGATGGCAGAAGAGTGAATGGAAGTCACACTAATCTCTTCCCAGGACAAATATGGAATTACAACTAAAATGTGGAGGAATCACCTAGAACAAAGAACTGAATAATAGCAAGAGGCCTTATAACCTCAGACAGACAGAAGAATTAGCTTCAGCATAACTGGTCTGGTAAGGAGAGAAGTGGAGACTTGAGAGGGCTGGCTGGGCGCCCACAGGTGACGATGTCAGAGGGATAATTAAGCAGCTGGTTGTATCCCCCTGAGAAGAGTTGAGTGCAAACCCTAAGCTGGGATCCCAAGCCTATATCACCAGAGCCCAAAAAGTACACAGATAACAACCAGCAGCAAAATGAGGCAGGGTTGCTTTCTGCCAGAGATGGGCATTGGACACACAAAGAGCCATTTAAAGGGCCAACACACAAATTTTCATTTGCAACCACTTACCCTGGGCCCTGGAAAAGGGGGGGGGCAGAGCAGGCTGGAGATGCCTAAGGGGAGATAGAGGACAGAAGCTTTGGGGAGAGAGCTGAGAGAGTAGACGTCAAGATCCCGGTGCTGAGTCATCACCCATAGGGCAGTAGCCATCCTGCTCAGGCAGACCCCTCCTGTCTAAGCCCCAGCACCCTGGGGGGCAACAATAGCCCCAACCTCAGAACATTCTCTGCCCTGGCCCTGTGGTACTTAAGCCTGACTGCTAAGTGCAGAGTGACTAGATTAACAACTGAAGGAGACAGCCACAAACACTAGATCCCTGGAAGTCTCTAACCTGCTGCTTAAGGTTAGATAGGGTCAACATCTGATATCACTAGAGAAGGATCAAGAAAGAAAAAAACAGAAGAAAATACAAGAGGCTACCAAAATGAAATCCTCTGTGGTTTTCTCCATGATTCATAATATTTTCTTTCTTGCATAACTTTTTAACATTCATTTATTGTCCATGAAGTCTGTACATATAAAGTCACTAGGTTTTCTACTGTACTTTATTTCAATTCACATATTTGCCCCTCCCTTCTCTTACCCCATTTTACCTTCTTTCCTCTCATTATTTTCACTTTAAATTTTGCTTTCTTTCTTGCTACAACTTGTTTCCATTCCACACTCTTAATATTTCTTCCCCATCCTGCCTCACAAAACCAATTTTCCTGTCAATGGTCATCTCACATTCTTTTCCCTACTCTTAAAACACCAGCATTCTTGCTGCCTTTAGCAATTTTTGCTAGTTGGTTGTGGACAGGGTAATTGTTATTGCATTTTATCAATTTTATGTCTAGATCATCACTAATTTTATATTTCAAATCTCAAATCTTACTGGTGGCCTCTCCAGCTCTTTTTTTCTTCTAAAATTTTCCATTTTTACCTGTCTTAGCATGTTGTTTTTCTTCTTTTTCTTTTTCATCCTGCCCTTTAATTTTATTTATTCTCTTTTTTTATTTTTCTCAAAAATTTTAATTTTTCCCTATCTTAGCCTGGTTTTCATTACTCACATTTAGTTATCCCTCTCCCTCTCTCACTTCAAAATCATTTCCCATTCCTCTAGACATCTCTTAAGCTTTTCTTTCTTTTTCCTGTCTTATTCCCATCACACCTATATTAATTTTAGTTCATCTTCTGTCGATGCTGCTGTGATAGTTCTTTCTCTCCAATTTTTCTTATGTATTTTTATTATTTATTAACTTTTCTCTGTTCTTTTTCTTTCATGTTATTTTAATTTCTGTTTAAGCTTAACATTATACACTTTCCTTCTTAAACTGCATGCCTCCTTCTCCATCCCCTTTTTTTAATCCTGATGTAAATTTTACTTTCTCTCTTCACATTACTCCAAATCTGAACTCCTATAAGTGCTCCTCCCTGTATCCTCTCAACATCACTTTTTTCAGTATGTCATCTTGTATTTGCTCTCTTTTCTTACAATTGTCTTAATCTCTTAACACCCTTATTAATAGAGGTTCATTTGCTGTTGATAGTGGAGTTGCAGTGGAAATTTTTGGGGGCTATAGGTTTGTTTCCTGGGCTTTGTAGTTTCATTATGGCAGCACCAGCACAGTAGCACACAAGACATGGTGGGCAGAGTGACTTTCAGTCAACCACCTGTAGGGAAGGACCCACCAAAGAATAACAACAATAATCAAAACCCAGCTACAGCCCTAGCTGGCATAGCTCAGTGGATTGAGCATGGGCTTGCGAACCAAAGTGTTGCAGGTTCGATTCCCAGCCAGGGTACATTCCTGGGTTGCAGGCCATAACCCCCAGCAACCGCACATTGATGTTTCTTTCTCTCTCTCTATCTCCCTCCCTTCCCTCTCCAAAAATAAATAAATAAAATCTTTTAAAACCCCCAGCTACATACAGAGAGAAAACATAAATGGCATAAAGGCCATCCCAAGAGAATCAAGTTCAATATTAAGATAACTTCATCACTGAATCTCATAGGGCTCCTACCATAGAAGTTCACACTACAAAGTCAAGGAGTTGAAGCATATCAATTTAAGAAGCAGAAGCAAACAAGAAGAATCTCACAAATAATGGGAAGACAAAAAAAAAACCAAAAACAATCCCCAATCAAAAGGAAAGGAGGAATATTCCGAAAAAGTGCTAAATGAAATAGAAGTAAATAAACTTTCAGATATTGAGTTCAAAACATTATAAGAAAGCTTGAGGAGCTCAGTGAGAATTACCAAATCTAGAAGGAAGCTACAAGGAACTTACTGAAAACTATATCAACATGAAAAAGACATAGAACAAGAACCATGAGGAAACAAAGAGTACAATTTTTGAATTTTGAATTGAAGAACATAGTAGAAGAAATCAAAGGCAGGCTATGTGAAGCAGAGGACTGAATCAGTGAGCTGGATGACAAGGCAGAAAAAAAAACTTCCAGAAAGAGAAAGAAAGGACAAAGACTAAAAAAGAATGAAGACGGAACCAGGAAAATGCAGGACAACAGGAAATGTGATAATATTCATATATTAGGGATAACAGAGTGAGAAGAGGAGGAAGAGATGGGAAACCTGTTTGAAAAAGTAATGGCAGAAAATTCCCCACTTGATGAGAGAAAATATCACACAAG